AGAATGTATTACAACTGTATATGAACTGAATGTTCAGAGCTTCTGGGCAAACAAATCTATTGCAGAAGTGAAAATTACATTTGCTAAATAAAGTCTATTTCCCTTTAGTAAATCAACCACACAGTGAACATCTTGTTTGCACAAGTGGGGAGACATTGAAAACACCAACATGTTCCACCCCTACATGCAAATAAGTCTATAACATTTCAAGCCTTGCTGCAAAAATCGTATTTGTCTACAGTACCTTAGCAAGCAACATTCTGCCCTTTTCAGAGGTATATTAACAGGCAGAATCCTGCTTTCTCTGTTTATAGCAGTTTTCCAGAAAGACAACATGTTGATGGATTATTTTTTCTAATAAAAATCAATCCCAACTTTGGGCACAATACACCTACCTGGCATCAAGCATTTGTGCTTTCTTTTGCCTGAAAAGCCCCCTCCCTATCATTAGGTAAATTTGCTCTTCTACATACTGGGAAAGTGCAACTACTGAAGTACTTCCAGCCCACTCAAAGGCAAGTGCTGCAGGTCCTATATACCCCATCACACACTGAACAGAATCCAGATGACTTGACTCGTCTCATGCACATACTTGGCAATTGTATATTTTTTCTCATCAGAAACTGGAAGTACAGAGATATGAAGGACTTTCCAGAGGACATACTGTATACCTGTAAATAATGCAGCAAAATGTGCCACACAACCCACAAAGCTTCACTATAAAATATTAATACAGTCCAAAACATAAAGTCCAAAGATCTTCCACCAAATTATACATGTGTACCACCAAATTATCCACGTGTCCCAATATCTCCATGTACCAATATCTTCTATATCTGATCACCAGAGCTATTCATGCATACACCTCCCATGAACAATATACTGTATGCTCACCTCCAGGCTAGAACCTGATGGCTAGTCAAGGGTGACATGCGCTTGTGCCCCCTTCATGGGCTGCAAACAGGATGGCTCCAGATTCACTCCACCACAGATGGCTCCCATGGTTCCACAGATCCTCCACTCACATAAAAAGCATTATTTCATTCACGAAAGAAGAATAGGAACTGATAGTGCTCTCTGTACAGTAAAAACATTTATTCAGTATTTAAAATGACACTTACAAGTCAGTGCACATGCAGTGCTATGTACAGCGCATATCAAACACAAGAAACTCTCTTTTTCACCACCTCCACTGCCAACATCAAGATGGCCGCCGACTGACCCCGCTCCACTCCTACGTGCATTAAGCTCAGTCAATGGGCTTCCTCAGTAGAACCGTCCTACTGTGGGTTGTGCAACATCTTTTGCTGCATTATTTACTGAGGGGGGGGAGTGAAACCACTTTATGTTGCCAGAAATGAGACTTAAATCGAAGGAGTTTAGGAACAATCACCATAGCCCCTTCCTTGTGCCATACAGCCATGAAAGTCATGGAAACAGTCACACTAACTGTTCTTTTGTTCACATACATCTTGTGAACATACAACTACACAGAAACTAGTAAAAAACCTACACAATATTCTCCTGCACAAGGAGTTCATAATCACCTTGCTATTAGAGAACAAGTCAATCTTCAGTCACATGTGCAAACAGCACAACCAAATACATACTGATAATAAAAAAAAAATGACTCACAGTAGGGTAACAAGAAGCCTTTGCTCTCCTGAGATAGGCCACCTCAAATTCATCTGCCACGTCTGAATGAAAGAGCCAGCTCGATGCAGCAGAAAATCAAAGAGGTCTGGACAGACATGCATGTATAAGAAAACAACTTTTCAGGGTACTGCTTCTGCCCCAACTTGTTGTCAAAAGGCCCTTTAGAAAGATGCTGGAACTGCAGTGGATCAACATAGTATTTTCTATGGGCAACAATTATTTTCCCTTTTCTAAGCATGATCAGGAACTTTCAAGAAGAACTCCAGGAATTAAGTCACTATTCAAAATGCAATATAGTTACAGTGAGTTAACTGCGACAAGATGTATGCCACCCAGTGGGCCTATACTTTATATTTACAGTTGACATTTTTCCTGAGCACTGAAAGTATAGCTGTCACTGTACATCCAGGCTCTTACATTGGACCTTTGCGTCTCTGATCATGATGCTACAGTGTCAAACTGTAGCCGCTCTACCCCACTCCTCAACACATGCTCAACCACAGAAGGCATTGTACTATGTGAACCCATTCTCCAAATAAAAAGTATTCTGTGGATAGACAGTGGAGGGCAAGGGCAGGTAGTCACACAGCAACTGCATCTTTCTTGTTAGTGTGCCAGAAGTATAATCATAGCTAAATACCTGGTGCTCAGTGAAATTGCAAATTGTAAATAAAAGAGATAAGTCCATGAGATGGCATGCACCTCATTGAACTTAACCCATTAAAACCCAGATTTTTTTGATTAGTGGCTCAGTTCCTGAAGTTTTTCTTTAAGATGAAGATCCTGCTTGTAAAAAAGAAATACAATATATTGTTATCATTGTTCTTCTCTGTACAAACAAAATAATCATGACTGCTCTCACCAAACATTTCCCATTATCCAAAATTCTCCTGCCTTGGATTCTGCTTACATAATTTCCTTTTAAAATGTCCCAAACCAAGGGCAGTGACATGCATTTAAAAATGCATCTCGTTGTGCAAAAAAAGTACAATAATGCTAGAAAACCATATGTAAATGTGTGGTAGGTTTTCATAGCATTTGCAAGCTACAACTTCTTCACACCAATGGAGCAATACTCTAACACCCTGCTACTGTTATATTGGCTATGCAAAACGTACGGTGAACTGTATGTTTGCTCTATGGTCACATGTAATCATGTGTACAAAAATTTTAAAATACATCGACCATATTGCTATTATAGTTGCAATGAAGCATGTCAGCACTTTGCAAATAACTCTCTTGAGAAAAGTACATGTATTTGGCATTGCTGAACAGTGTAATTAGCTGATAAAATTTGGGAGTAAAGTACAAGGCTTGCAAAATGGTTTTTGCTTAATGTTGACAGAGTATTTGACCTTAGCAAGTCTGTTTTAATGAATACAATGCTGCAAAAGCAAATAACAACTTTTGCAGAGTAAGGATCTGTTATACCTGTAATATAAACATTACAATGTTGCATACCCAGCAGGTTTTGTATAACAAAGGTATTGCATTATCAATCCAATGGCTCTTTAGGACAGCTATACAGTTTTTAAAATTGGTGTTCAGGGTTAGGGCTAAGTTTAAAATGTTATGTTTATATTATTTCACTGCATAACATTCTACTGTGTATGAATTGTTACATCAATCAAAGGAACGCATGATTATAAATATTAACTGTTCATCTAAACCAGCGGTTCTCAACCTGGGGTCGCGACCCCTTTGGGGGTCGAATTTCCCAGGGGTCGCCTAAGACCATCGGAAAACACTATTTCCGATGGTCTTAGGAACCGAGACAAAACTGCTGTCTCCGGCGCTGTGTGGGCGGGATGATATGCTGCCCCTGTCACCGCCTCCTCGCCGCTGATTGGCCACCGGAACTGTAGCTCAGGAGAGGCACACAGGCGGCCAATCACCGGCGAGAAGGTGGAGCTTGGAGAGGAGGAGCCGAGCGGCAGCGCGCGGAGATGAAGAAGATCGAGGGAGCTGCAGGAACAGTGAAGAGAGAGGCCAGAGAAGGAAGACAGCTGACAGGTAAGTGCAAATTTTGCTGCTGCAGCCAGGTATGCAGGCTGTAGATGGGAAAGCCCAGGCTAAGGAGTCAGCAAGGTAAGTATCATTGGTGTCAAGGGATAGTGCCCCATCAACTAATACCAACGATGGGGCACTATTCCTCCCCTCACTGACACCAACGATGGGGCACTATTCCTCCCCCCACTGACACCAAACGATGAGACAGTATTCCTCCCCCCACTGACACCAACGATACTATTCCTCCCCCCACTGACACCAACGATGGGGCACTATTTCCCCCCACTGACACCAACGATGGGGCACTTGCCTCCCCCCACTGACACCAACGATGGGGCACTATTCCTCCCCCCACTGACACCAACGATGGGGCACTATTCTCCCCCCACTGACACCAACGATGGGGCACTATTCCTCCCACTAACGCCAATGATGGGGCACTATTCCTCCCACTGATACCAATGATGGGGCACTATTCCTCCCACTGATACCAATGATGGGGCACTATTCCTCCCACTGACACCAATGATGGGGCACTATTCCTCCCACTCATACCAATGATGGGGCATATTCCTCCCACTCATACCAATGATGGGGCACATATTCCTCCCACTCATACCAATGATGGGGCACTATTCCTCCCACTCATACCAATGATGGGGCACTATTCCTTCCACTGACACCAATGATGGGGCACTATTCCTCCCTACTGGACACCAATGATGGGGCACTATTCCTTCACTGATACCAATGATGGGGCACTATTCCTCCCACTGACACCAATGATGGGGCACTATTCCTCCCACTCATACAACGATGGGGCACTATTCCTCCCATGATACCAATGATGGGGCACTATTCCTTCCACTGACACCAATGATGGGGCACTATTCCTTCCCACTGACACCAATGATGGGGCACTATTCCTCCCACTGATACTAATGATGGGGCACTATTCCTCCCACTGACACCAATGATGGGGCACTATTCCTCCCACTGACATCAATGATGGGGCACTATTCCTCCCACTGACACCAATGATGGGGCACTATTCTCCCCCACTGACACCAATGATGGGGCACTATTCCTCCCACTGACACCAATGATGGGGCACAATTCCTCCCACTGATACTAATGATGGGGCATATTCCTCCCACTGACACCAATGATGGGGCACTATTCCTCCCACTGATACCAATGATGGGGCACTATTCCCCCACTGATACCAATGATGGGGCACTATTCCCCCACTGACACCAATGATGGGACACTATTCCTCCCACTGACATGAATGATGGGACACTATTCCTCCCACTGACACCAATGATGGGACACTATTCCTCCCACTGACGCCAATGATGGGACACTATTTCCTCCCACTGACGCCAATGATGGGACACTATTCCTCCCACTGACACCAATGATGGGACAATTCCTCCCACTGACACCAATGATGGGACACTATTCCTCCCCACTGACGCCAATGATGGGGCACTATTTCCTCCCACTGACGCCAATGATGAGGCACTATTCCTCCCACTGACGCCAATGATTGGGCACTATTCCTCCCACTGACGCCAATGATGGAGCACTATTCCTCCCACTGACACCAATGATGGGGCACTATTCTCCACACTGACACCAATGATGGGGCACTTTCCTTGACACCAATGATGGGACAACATATTCCTCCCAACACCCAATGATGGGGCACTATTCCTCCCACTGATACCAACGATGGGACACTATTCATCCCATGACATCAGTGATGGGGCGCTAGTCTCCCACTGCAAAATTACAGTTATGAAGTAGCACGAAAATAATTTTATGGTTGGGGGTCACCACAACATGAGGAACTGTATTAAGGGGTCGCGGGCATTAGAAAGGTTGAGAACCACTGATCTAAACAATATTAACTTACAACTCTTTCAGAATTATATGCAGGTTAAGCAGAAATAAAGAATATAGCTGTTCCAAATAAAAATCAAAACAAAAAACAAAACAGTAAAACTATTTTTAAAAACACCCCCCATAATTTACCATTTACATTAAAGGTAGAATAAATATATACATTTTGTTTGCCTAGTTGTGCCCAGTACATGCTAGATTTTAATAAAATTAATCGTAGACTTGCTACCAGCCCCACTTACTATGCACTCCACCATAGTTACCATATTCTTTAACTTTATTTATTCACACCATACAAAAATGAAGAGCCCTCAATGTGTCCCATGCCACGCAGTATCAAATACTTTGATTTTCAGTTTATTTCTTCCTTCCCTTCAAAAGTAATTTTTATATATTTAAATCTGTTGCTTTAAGTACAATATAATATTTGATAATCCTGTCATGAAGGTTCTTGTCAAGGCACTTCCTGATAAACAATGACAAACACTCTGTCCTTTTATCTGCATTTTCACCCTATCACATGGGTAAATGATGGAGAATTCAAGTCATGCCAATATTTATTACACCAACAAATTTTGATCCATCTATGGCTGCTCCCATTCAAAAAGAGTCAATTTATTGATCAACTCCACCACATATGTGTGGATGGGGGAATCCATTCAGTTTTTTTTTTATTAGCTCACTGGCTGATTAAAAAAAGAGATCAATGTATTGTCAAATTTTATTTAGGATTAAGTTAGTCTTTAGGGTCAAGGCTTTAGTTAAAGTTTTATGATTAAGGACTCATTCACACGACTTGGGCCAAGATTATTTTGTTCAGTTCAGTTCCAATGCAAGTGCTAGGCACACAATCTTGTTTTTAATGGAACCAGTTCACACCAATGCCTTGTTTGGGTGTGTGCTGGAAGAAAATAAAAAAATTTACATTTTACTGTAGCCATTGCTACACATGCATGGCAGGCAAAAAAAAGCACCTATAGTACTTAAACCTGAAAACAATAGAAAATAAAATGCACTATAACTGCAAATTATTAAAAAAATGCAATGAAGCCCTGTGAAAAATGTGGGTCAGTTCATGTCAACCCATATGCATTTTGCACATGTTGACGCAAGCTATGTTATTTGAAAGAGGCCTAAAGATGGGGGTTAGGTTTTAGTGTTAAAGGTTATGTGTTAATTGATAGATGTGGTAATGTAAGTATTAAGTGTTGGTGGGATGTATAAATGAATTATTGTACTTAAGGGGTTAGGTCAAATATTAAGTATAAGGGTGCAATTACCTATAAGATGTTAATAAGTAACAATAATTTTTAAAATAGTAACATCCTCAGGCCAGCAATTAAACCTTTCCTATTAATAACACAGCCCACGTAGCCCTTTGTACCACTTTTCAGACTCTCACATCTATGGCACAAGCTGAATCTTTCCACAGAGTCTTGTTTTGTAGAGTACAGCAGCAGTAAACAGCTGCTAACACCTTACTTCTCCTCCTTATAGAGTATGTGCATTGGCATATGACAGACAGGGCAAACTTTTTCTTAATTTGAAGTCAACAGAGTAGTTCCACAGCTCTTAGCAATTAAAGTATTGGTCCAATTTGCCAGTGGTTGCCATGAATTTCCATCGCAGATTGATATAGAGAAAGAGGAGTATGTTATTCATCTTCTGCTATACCAATATGCCAGAGATAGTCTGCTCAGTCAAGCTAGAACTATTTTTGGGAGAAGCACACCTAAAATAGGTGAACATTCCTTTTCTCTATCATACACCAATGCACAGACCCAAGCAGGGTGAATCATCCCCTGGTATTGTCACTGCTGAGCACCCCTGCTGTCCCTTTGAGGCCTTGGTCCAGTACTTGATGGCTGGCTGTATCCCCTATTAGTGGGTTCTGCAGATAGCAAGAAAAACTTCAAAAAGGAATGGGTTTAAGGCACTTTATCCAAAGTAAGTTTACTCCTACATTGTGGAGTGGAGTGCAGTGACTCTGGCTAGGCTGCTCTCATACATAAAAAAAGGCTTCTGAGAAACAAGAGATTTTGAAGAGAAGGAGCACCACAGGAGTATCACACATATCACACTCTATTGTATCAATGTTTTGAGCTTTGCATTATTCCAATCCAATTTTCACTAGAATATTGAGCTCTGGTGAAGGTGGTTCTTTAGAACCCCTGGAACACATTTTTATATATTTTCAATATATTATAATTAAATAAATAAATAAATAATATATTCAGACACTTAACTATGAGTGCAATACTCCTTTTCCTGTAAATCTCATGCAAGAACAGCTTTAACCATTTCCTACTTTCATAAACCAAAAATGACTTTCATCTTCTTTCAATGTACAATGAACCTGCCTTTCAGCATGCCCATCACAGTGCAATGCACCACTGTGCATTGCATTCCTGAAACAGGGTGAGATACATTAGGGTGCATTGGCAGCCCATTTAAAACAACATAAATAAATATCCAAATGGGATTGATTAAACCTCATTTATTTATGTTGGAGTTTTCACTGATACTATGAGGTTTAATTTCTAAAACTGGAGAGGGCAAAATCTAGTGCAGCTTAATTGAGCATGCTGAAATTAGAAGCTGTTTGGCTACAATGCACAACTGCACCAGATTTTGCACTCTCCAGTTTTAGTAAATTGACCCCTATGTTTCTAATTTGAAAATGGTCCACATGTGCTACAATTTATTGTTCTGTATGCCTTAAAACAACATATACTGTACTAACAAGTGATTTAATGTAAATTATCCTGTGTGTTAATGCAATGTGGAGATATGAACTCAGCCTTAATAAATGAGTTAGTATTGCAAATGCAACAATATATCTGTGAAAGCATTTGCCATCTCTATACTGTCTAACTTACTTGGCAAGTTTCAAACTAAAATTATGAACTACCTTTTAGCATTCCGTAGCAATTGTTCTTTGACAGAGAGTATCATTTAGCTACAGGTGGGGAAAGGTTAACTTTTTTGTTATAGCTATCTTTTATCACTTATTCTGTAATAATACACTGGGTCAAATTTAATAAGTGACACATATTTCTAACAATAGGCCACCTGACAATCTAGGATGTATTTAATTTTTTAATGTAACAGAGGGCAACAATCACTTGTCTGAGATTTTTTTTAGATGTTACATTTAGAGAACATGCGGTGCTATAATAATTCTGTAGTCCACTGACCTAGTGTAAAAATGACTATACATTTCAAAGTGGGAAGTGTTTGAAGCTTGAGCCACCTGTGGTTTCTTGTATTTTATATCCTCCTCAATCTTTCACTCTGCAAACAAAGTCAAGAAAATCCCAAGTATTAGACAGGGTAACCAATATTTCAAGTGTCTGCTATTGAGTTCAGCTTTGTGTTCAAAATGATACATCTAGAAGAAAAATGTTGTATATACCACACCATCTTGACTTCATCTCTAAAAGGTGTGCTTTTTTGCAATTTACTCTGAGTTATTTTTTTTTTCTTTAAATCTGTGCTCCTATTCAACAACAATTAACCACTAAAGCTCTGTATAATTCAAAGTAAAAGCTGAACATGTGATATCTACACAGGCAACATTTTAATCAGGTGACAAGTTTCAGCACATGGTTCCACTCATAGACCATCCCTCTAGGAGTGCTGCCTTTTGACCATATTAACCCCTAATTACTGATTATTAAAGACGAAATCTGACAAACTAATTTGAATTTAAAATCTGCTGGGTCTTAAAATGTGATGAGGTGTATCGCTGGCTGTTCCACCTCCACCTCCTGGATCGCTGGCTGTTCTTTACAGTTTACACTTTACAAAGCTTTCCTTATACTTGCTGTGCTCCATCAGGAGATTTGCAACTCTCTTAGACTCAAGACTCACTATCATTTCTCTGCCCCTCCTGTTCTCACGTATAGTCGCAGAATGCCTTTTGTATTCTGAGAACCCAATAAAATGCTTTGGCTTACAAATCATTACACCAAAATCTTCTATTCCCCTTTTCAACAGCTGTTTTGCTATTTGTGTGTAAAGTTTTGCTTATTTTGTTTGTATTTTTGGGGTTTTTTTTTGTAACACTGCACTGACAACATTTCCAAAATATTCTGTTACAATATATTTTATTGAGTGTTACAAAGTTAAACAAGACACTAGCACACAAGTTACATTTATTTCCAAAATAAGGCTTTAACAGAATGATATACAGTATAAAATGCAACCATATCATGTGTGAAAATATCATACTGAACCAGGCAAAAATATAGCCATAAATTTGATCAAAGATTGTGTACTTGGACTAGTGATTCTGCATGTTATGGCCCTGATAGCTTTTAAAAAGTATTTACTTCATTTGTAAATAACTTTACCATACTTATTACTAAGAACATAATTTTAGTGACTTTATAAAGAAGAATCACAGAATAAAATTTACACTGAAGAGTTTAAGCTACTTTTGCATTCCCAGAGGAAAAGTGAGAAATTGGTTATTAATAATATTTTTTGAAAATCTGGTACCATGCTCCTTATGACTAAATCATGCTGGTATAACATATCTATTTAGGCAAGCCATCTTCATCATGTATCTAAAGTCAACATTTTTGCTAATGGCTCATTAGTTTAGCATAACATGAGGATGAGTTAGCAACCTTGATAATTTTTTATG